CTGGCCCAGGTTGCCCAGAGAAGCTGTGGCTGCCCCCTCCCTGGCAGTGTTCAAGGCCAGGTTGGATGGAGCTCTGAGCACCCTGGTCTGGTGGAAGCTGTCCCTGCCCATGGCAGAGAGCTTGGAACCAGATGATCTTTAAGGTCCCTTCCAACCCAAACCATTCTATGGTTCTATGATTCTCTGATACGTATGCTTTCAGTAAGTGGCTCTTTACTATAGAAAAAAAAATTTAAAAAAAACACACCTAAGTGCAAGACCCTCAAACAACTACAAAGTCTTCCTTCCTGAGGAAGTACATTAACATTAGAACTTCAACATCTCTTCTTAGAAAATTTTAAATCTCTGAATCAGCTAATTAGCTGGTACAATTACAAAGAAAACACCTGACAGCCGACTCAACAATACATTGATAAGATACAAGAATCTACATTACTGACAATCTATTGAAACTTAAATACCTCTTTATTGTCCCCGGAAGATCCAGACTGAGTGGAATTCGAAGGGAGGATGCTAAAGTGTCACCTACAGCCTTGCTGATTTCCTGTAGTTCTCTCGGAGAAACACAGCCCAGTAAAGCAGTCAGTTCACAGTCCTGTGACTGAATAAGCCTATCTTGTTCTTCAATTTCTCTTCTTAGTTGTTGGTCTTTTGCTTCTAATATGGCCAGTCTTGCTTGAAGGTCTTCAATTTCTTTCTGCATAGAACAGAAAACTGAGTTTACTGTGAACTCTGTTTAACAAACCCTCTGGCCCTAGAAAAATGCAGCACAAGTCTCAGACGTAGCATGAATTAAAGTTGACCAATTTAGCACAACATTAAACGAGAAGATATTCTTTTGTTGACACACAATAATTCTTGTGTCTGTTGTATTCAGAAACTCTAGTGCTCCCACAGTCTGAAACTCCACATCTCCATTTCAACACCAAATTTCAGGTTCCTCTTCCAACACCAACTGCCACTCACCTGTTACCTTTAATACACACAGGTATTTCTCAAGTTAAAAACTTCCCCCAAAAAACCAAAATCTCAGTTCAACAATGACAAGGGCATTTTGCTGCAGGCTGGCAGCTGAAGTGATCAACCATCTATCTGTCCTCCTGCAGAATATCCTACAACAGTTCTTCTGGGCTTCCAATCCAACATCAGGCACAGGATTCAAGAGGTGAATCACTGACTGCCTGGCCAGTCCTTTTGATTACTAATATTTAATTTTAATCAAAAGCACAAAATCCCTTCCTTGACTTAAAAAGATCAGAGTTTCAAGCTCAGTTGCACTTGTCTTGCCAGAAGTTCAAACCCCATGCATTATGATGCTGATGTTTCTTGAAAGAGCACGTTCTCATTTTTCCTTCAAAACCCAGATAGCTTGCACCTAAGGAAGGAGCACTTCATGAAGGAGTCTGGATTATTCAACACACATGAGCCCTTGGTTCATTTGTCCCAGAATTTAAACAGTGAGTAAAAAAAATAACAAACAAAAAAAAACAACCCACAACCACCAAAATTACCACCCAAAAGTAGAACTACTTCTTACTACTGAAGTAGTTGAATGCCATACTGGAGAACTTCATTCTATTCCTACGTTTCTTACAATCTCTGTGAAACTCTGCAAGCCACTTCAACTATTATCTCCACACACAGCCACTGACTGAATGGTTACTAGAGAGCTGGAGAGAGGCTTGGTACAAGGGCATGGAGTGACAGGACGAGGGGTGATGGCTTCAAGCTGAAAGAGGGCAGATTTGGGTTAGATATAAGGAAGAAATTCTTCCCTCTGAGGGTGGTGAGGCCCTGGCAGAGGTTGCCCCGAGCAGCTGTGGCTGGCCCCTCCCTGGCCGGGGCCAGGCTGGACAGGGCTCTGAGCACCCTGGGCTGGTGGAAGGTGTCCCTGCCCATGGCAGGGGTGTGGGAACTGAATGATCGATAAGGTCCCTTCCAACCCAAACCATTCTATGAGTCTAGAACAAAGACATGCTCATATAATTAAAGACTCTCATAAAACATACATACTATGCACGGATAACTGACGTTGGCATTTCTTTGCTTTTTGAGTGCTTCACTTTGAAACCTTAACATTCTTTAATGTTTTCAGTGTAATTTAAGTGAAGTTTAGTTCACTACCGCTCATTTCATCAGCAAACATTTTCAGGTCTGCTACACTTCAACAACCTCCCTCAGTATCACTTAAAACAAGAAACAGTCCCTTCACGTTAAAAAGGTTGACTGGCTCAAGATTTCATCTTATATTAGTGCTGCACACTAGATTAATCAATTATTTTCCTCCTTTTTTGGTTTTAGATTTAGCAGCAAGAGAACAGAGCAGCCCATGTTTCAACCCACAGGCATTTGCCAAGGACAGAAAGGTCAGCAGGCCAAAAACATCACTGTTGTTTCTTTCAGCCTCAAATCAGGCTTTTAGCGCGCACAAAGGACAATTCTGCCTCTGTGTTACTGGTTTGGGAATACTGCCAAAATCTTAATAGGCCCTACTTAATACAAAGGCCTTCACACTCTTTGAAAATGTAGTAATTGCAATCACTGCAATAAGCAACCTACACGGGAACATAAACGGGAGATGAACAGAAATCGGTTTTACAAACACACTTTTCGAACTGAAATGATAAGCAACCTACACGGGCACAGAAACGGGAGATGAACAGAAATCAGTTTTACAAACACACTTTTCGAACTGAAATGTTTTTACAACATAAATAGATACCAGAAGCACACAATCTGCATTCACAGAAAGGAAGCTGTTCCACTCGGGAATAGTTCACAGGCGTTCTTGGGAGAATGGAAATTTTAGTCAGTAAACTGGAATTCTCTCGCGTTCTTTTCCAGAAATGCCAAGAAGCCTTTAATGTGCTCTTGGTCAGCCTCCAGGGACAGACAAAACGGACTTCAGGTCTCAGCATGGAGCAGCAGATGATATTCAGCTCACTAAACGTAAGCTGGAGTTTTCCTTTGTGGATTTGAGTTTAAACTCAGATTTCTAACACGACAGCTAATCACTACCTATTGTCAACCTCTAGATTCACTTATGGGGTGGTGTTCTCCATAAAGTACAGATTGCAGTAGAAACATTAACATGTAAATTTTATATACCGTCACAGGCTCTCAAATCCCTGAAGACAAATGCAGAACCAACAATAGAGAGGGTTAGACAGGAAAGTAGGGCTAAGGAAGAAAAAAAAAAAATTAAAAAAAAAATCATTATTATTTCAGATTATGTGAGATTTTGGGCAGAGGTAATCCATAAAGAATGCTGGGAGCCACCAAACATCACGGGTCAGCCTTCTCCAGACCCTTGAATTCTTGATAATTCTGATCAAATGTTCCTAAATAGCATGCCTGTACAACAACGTGGCTAGTTTCTCCCTAGTATAACTACATAAGAATAAAGATTCACCTGGAGCAACGATAAAAATATTCGCTGATGTGGAGTCTTAAGTACAGCAGTTTTCAGTTGAATAGTTTGAGGTGGTTGGCTGGATGCATAGATTATCAAAAATAGTTTTCTAGACACTGATAAGGTTGACCTAGACTATGTCTTCTCTTGTATGTTGACGAAATAAATCCAAACAATACAAAAATGTGATGACTAGGATATAAAAGACATTTCTTCATCTAAGTAAGGTTTTGCAATGGCCATCTAAGATGTTTTTCTCTATTTCTTTCTGGGTTTTATATATATATTTACCTGTATACAAACACACAGATGATTATACTGTTGGATTCACAAAAGGAAGTATAAAATAATGAGATTTCAAGACAAGACCACAGAAAAAAAGAAACTCGACCTACTACCTCTCTAAGATGTCATCGCTGAGTGTGAGTGCCAAGGTTTAAAAGGAGATGGAACAAAGACTTGTACCAGACAGTAAACTAAGATTTTTGAAGGACAGTGAAAAGAAACAGCTAAATTTTGCTTAAAAGGCTTGCAGATATAAAATTGGACAGAAGCCATCTTAAACACATTCCATTTGCCAAATTACCACATTGTGACATCACGTGTCAGTATAAAGTTATTGTTGGCAAATGCCGACTGCTCTATGATAATTCCTTCATCCTTATGAAATGCATCAATCATCTTTCAGGAACAAAAGCTGGTAAATCATGTATTCATAGTCAATTCTAATCAGAAATGGATGAAAGACTGCATCCTTCAAAACTTTTTGTCTTCAGATAAAAACTTCTGAAGATCAATGAAATATTAAAATGGCAAATTTGAACATAAAGAGCGCACTTAAAAAGATAATGAGGAAAGCGAAAGCACGCACACAAGCCACCAAGCCTTCCATTTCTGCTTCTCTGTAATGAGATTAACACAACTCCTGTGGCTGCCATCTCCAATCATCACTTAGATTATCAACTGGACTACAGCCAAGGCTCTAATTGCTGCACAGAAGCAAAGCCACTATTACAATAAATACATTTAATTCTGTGTGACAGCTCACAAGCTTTTCCCCACACAGCACTGGTTCTTACAGACAACTGTTCCGTTACCTGCAACCCCTTCTTTTCTTGAAGAAGTTGGTTTCGTTTTGTGGTCGAAACCTGCATCCTCTCCTGGTATGTAGATCTCAGAAGTTTATGTCCATTTTCGTGCCAAAACTGGGTTTCTTCATGTCTAATTCTTTGGAAAAAAAAAATGACAAAAGCTAAAAATGGATGTTATCACTGAGTATCAACATCCCAAAACATTAAACAGGTCAGAATGCTACGTGTTACCTTCAGAGTCACAACACTCCATCACCAGAATGATTATGTCTGAAACAGATACAGTTAGAGAACAAGAGATTTTTCCTTGGCATATCTTCCTTTATTATCTCAAACATTTCCACTGTTTTTACAACACGCTGAAGAAGGAAAAAAGAAAACTTGTATAGCTTCAGGCTTCCCCCAGCTTTTTCATATTTCAGAAATTTATCCATCACTGCCTTCAAAGAGACAAAACTAAGGCATGTAATTTCTATCAATACAGAGAAAAATCTCACAGACAGAAGTCTAAAAACTTGCCAAAGCCATTTTTGCAGCTTCTGTCAGCTTTTGGAGACTACATTAGCGATCATCTGGAGTGTTTGCTCCACGATGCCAAATCTTTACTTCTCTTGCACAGCAAGTTCTTTCAAAATCGCAGTCAGTGGGATTCCTCACAGTGGTCGGCACAACCCTCAGCTGCACATCTTTGCATGATTGGACCCCAAGGTAATCAGTCCATGACATTAAGTGTGAACAATCAGCCTCTCATAATGCACCTGCAAACGACGCAAACCTATTCTGTCCTGCACGCTCCTGTACAAGAGAGCACGTGTTTGCAAGGCCAATTGCATTTCTGTGCAATGAGACAAGGGTATGCATTTCCACATAAAAGGTACAGATGCCTTTCAGTATCTTGTTCTAAAAAAATACTCAAACAAAAGATGTTTTTGAAGCATGATTTCCCACCATAATCTTGCAAAGCAAATACATCCAGGCCACACACAAAACATGCATCACAAGTCTGGTTTAAGCATGATTAATCACACAGTTCTGATCTCCATGCACAGCTATTGAGTAAGTGTGTAGAGCAAGAGGTTCCCATCTCTTCCACAGGACCATCAGAAGACACACATGCTTTACTCCCTCTCTGTGGGCTGCAGAACATACTGAAAAGGCAAAATAAAACCCTGGCACTAAAATAAAAGGCACTAATACTTAAACAAAACAGACACAATGGCAGCACGACTATATTTCTGCAGTCAAAAAAATAGATCGGAGACACACCCGTACCCTGAGGTGCTACGCCATCACTGTGTATGTGCCTTATAACCATTCTAGACTGCTGTGGCCCCAGCCAACCACACCTCCCAGCAGCTCTGAAGCCCTCTTCTTTCACTAAGAGCTGCACCTTTCTCAGAGCTGTATGCAATAGAAATTTCTGAGCAGCTGGTCAAATTTTAGGACACATTCCACGATAAATATAGGTTATTCTCAGAACCTCCTTGGAAATCCCATGTACATCTGCCTACTTGGAACTGAGGAAACAGAAACAAGGTATTTCTGATCTCAAACCTGGGTGACTGCACAAAAATGGTGTTGTTCCTAAGCTAAACATCACCAAACCCAGCTCCTACCACCTGCCCCCAAGGTCCTCTGTCAACACCAAAAGCATTCACCTAAAAACTCATCTCAATTTAATCAAGTAAAACAAAACCAGGGCGTGAATTTGTGTCTTATGTATTAAACAAATAACCTGCCATACACACTTTTCATTTAAAAAGTTCTTTAGGTGCAAAAAGATGAGACTGGCTTGACTAAAAGTGTTCTGGAGCTAGTCTGATCATCCTTTCAACTTTCCGGGTGAAGAAAAGAAATCTTGGGTATATTGGGTTTGTTCTGATTCAAAATGAAAACAAAAACCGAAGCCTACAAATTCTCCATGAAGGAGTGGTCATATTTTCCACTCTGTACTATCTAAAAATACTGTTGGAACAGAAAAATTTTAAACACCTCTACTGAAGACAAAGGGTATGCTTGCCACATCCACAAGAGAGTCAGGCCACAGACAAAGCCGTGTGACAGGCTACAAGAACGAAGTGAGAAAAAGAAAGGGTGCCACAAGAACAGCAGTCAAATTCAAGCTCAAAGAAAGGAGTGTGCACAGGACAGAAAGGTGAAGAGGATATTCATCTGACCCTGAAGAATGGCACCGCTCTCAGACCTGTGCAAAGAAAAGAGTTAGATATAATCATCGAAAGAACAGGAACACTTTAATAATTGTATATATTATATATTTTACACATAAAAATATATTATATGTACATTATATAGGGGGAAAATAGGCAGACTACTTATTTCAAGGATGCTTTAGTGTCACCATTTCTCTGACTTTGAAGACAACACCACCTCTAAAGTCAAAATTATTATTACAAATTAACGCATAGAGCAAATGTGTCTTAATGACAAAAGACAGAATGTTGTATACTAATCTTTAAGGAATGGTAAAACAGCTTCTTAGGGTCTCAGAAGGTAGAAGGAAACAGCTCCAAGGGAGTGCAGTTTGTTTTAAAATCTGCCTAAACACTATAAATAGAGGCCAAAAATACCCTCAATAGCTTTAATTCTTGCCATAAAATCCTATTATCTGTAATGATTTTATCTAATTTTCACATATATCAAAAATTACACCCAAATGTATAGACTAGCACACTGCAGCCTTTAGACATAGAAGCTGCCAGAAACCAAATGGTGTTTCTTCTTTCATTTGTGCTATTGCATTTAAGAATAGCTTCCAATGCCTACGAAGAACCCTCTTACTTCTAACAACAGTAATCAGCAGCACAGCTGAAGAAAGACCTAGAAACAGGGACCACTTTTTCTTCCTAAGCTAACTACCTCCCCTGGGTCACCCAACACATCTCACACACCCCCAATCTTTGAAGCTTTTATTCCTTCAAAGGAGGGCTGAGAATTTATTTTTGTGACTTTATACAGTGCTGAGCACGTTACAGCCACCTAACAAGTGACGCATTAAAAGGAAGCTCCCAGAGACCTATGCATACCAAAGAAGAATCTGTTTTTACTTTATATTTAAATATCTTTTCATTGCCTGAAAAGGAGCATCAGCATCAACTCCATGGGGAGCCATTGCTCAAGCTGCCTCGCAGTTGTATGCTCAAGCTGCGGTGTCAAGGAGTCAACCCCGTTCCCACTCAACATCAGTGAGAAAAGTTCCATTTAATTCACCAGTTCACCACACAATGTTTTTTTCAGGGATTTTCCAATATTTGTAGAAAGAAAAAAAGGGGAGGCGAGGGGATTTTCATAAACAAGCTCCATATTGATAATTAAGAAGGTCCTTAAAACTCTATTAAAGTTATTCATAAAATGTATTCCACATTTTCAGAAAACACAAAAGCATCATTTTTGATAATAAGGAACCAACAAACTCACCGATGATCGGCAGCCCAACGCAGTGCTGCTTGAACTTGGGTAACAAACCTATCCAAAAAGCTGCTAATTGAAGGATGCCGTGAAGGAAGCTGAAATTTTAAAGAATTTTTCTCTTTCTCCAGTTCTTCCAGTTTCCGTCTACATTTATCAGCTAGAAATTAAATAGTAAAAAGAAAAGTTATTGAACAGTGACAAAAAGGTTCTATTTTACCTGAGGAAGAAAAAAGGTCGATCAACAAAAAGTAAAATTGACCCCACAGATGGCTCTTCCCCTTTTGATAAAATGCATCGGTCTGTCTTGCCCAAGGATAACTTAGTAAGGCTACAGTAGCAAACTTCAGAAAACCGGGATGCTAAGCTACTTTCTCCTCTGACAAGGACAAAACTGCAGCCTTCCCAGCACCTTCACACAGTTTTAGTTTGGTAAGGCTCCAGAGAACTGGCTCGAAGTTAGCATTTGTGCTCTTCTCCTAGAGTAACAGCTCTGAATTCACTTCTAAGTAAACTCCTCTTCACTGCTCCGCTTTTTAAACAATCTTAGATGGCAGTTACACACTTGAAGTCTGATCTTGTAAAAGTTGCATTGTTATTAGGTCAAGAACTGCAGAATCACATGTGATATCTCAGCAACGCATTTCAGCA